CGCCCCGCGCGGCCCCGCAGCGCCGCACCGCTCCTCCCGCGCGCCTGGGAGGGCCGGGGTCCTCGGTGGGCGTGGGCTCCTCGGAGGACAATGGGACTCGGGGATCTCGCCCCACGCCCGCCGGACCCTGTCGGGTGGGGGCTCGGGGAAACCTGGAACCGAGCCGGATCCACGGGAACGCAGACCTCGGGCAGGGCCCGGAAGCCCGAGTCAGGAGGGCTGCGGCGCTGAGCGAGCGCTGCAGTCACCTGCCCTTCCCCCCAGGGGCTGCCAGAGGGTGGGGGCCTGGGGTGCGAGAGGACGCAGCCTGGCTCTGAAAACGCAGCTTCACGATTGTCCTCGGACCAGAGCCAGGCAGTGGCCTGACGGGTGGGGGAGGAGGTTTCCGCCTGACTCATCCCTGATGTCACCTGCCCCGTGGCCACTGGTGCTAGCGAGCGCGCCACCCTAGCGGGGACTGCGGGGGGCGCGGAGCAGCCGGTGGGGGCCGGGTGAGTGCGGTGCGGACGTGTGCGGCGCACGCCCGGACGGGTGAGTCGTGCAGTGCAGGCCTTGGCTTCCACCGACAGCTCTCCATCAGGGGGACGGGACTCACGGCCTCACTCACAGGAGGCCGCCGAGAGCAAGCCGGAGCCCGGTCTGCGCAAGACTGGGGTCTGCGCAAGACTGGGGTCTGCGCAGGATGGGCCGCAGTCTTCTCTGGGGAGAAGCTCCCGTTTGCGCCTCTAGAACGGAGTCTTTTGTCCGCAGCACTGCCCCGCCCCCCGCAATGTGTGGCGAGGTGGCCTTACGAGTTTTCCTCGCCTGGCTTCCAGCTGTCCCTTTCAAGGAGTCGGGGCGAGAATTTGGCTGTGCCTCCCCGTCTGAGCGAGGGTAGAGGCTAGGAAGCATCCTTAGGCCTGGGACTCCTCCCTGCCAGGGTGGCACTGGGCCAAGCTCGGTCCTTCTCATCCCCAGAGCTCCGGTGCCAGGCTGAAGGCTGACTCATTGCTCTGTCTCCCCCAGCCCTGCTGGGAATAAGCTCCTAGCCCTGGGGCCAGCAATCACGGCTGCCGCTGACAGCACAGCTCGGGGTGGGGCTGGCAAAAAGCTGCCTACTAGAGATAGCACTGCCTCAGCCTCTACTGACCCTGCCCAGGGCACAGGCTGACTAAGTGCTCAGCATCTGTGGAGCAAACTGAGGTGGGCTCTGCAGAGAGAAGTTGGGGTTGGGCAGAGGAAGGGCAGGGTGCCTGTCCCCAGCACCAGGTGGCACAGTTCATCCTTGCTGCCCCCTCCCCTGTACATGTGCTCACCCCACACACACACACACACAGCCTTCTCCCATCCTCAGCAGTGTGGCCTGAATGCTTCCCAGGCAGGCACAGGCCAGACCCTGCTCCTAGGAAGGTGGTGCAGGACAAAGCAGACCAGGGCCTCTGGCCCACCCTGGGCCATGGGCGGGGTCAGAAAAAGGACCTCTCCAGCCAAGGTCCCACATGGGCTGTACGGGCCATGGAGGGGGAATTGTGGTCCTGCTCCCCTCCTAGTGTGCACTCTGGCTGGAAGCAGCAGCATTAGGGCCTTGTGAGTGCAGAGATGACTGAGGAGGGGGCCCTGACCTTGCTGCTCCTGGCTCTGTGCTGGAGTTGGGGGAGCCAGAGAGGAAGACAAGGAGCAGGACCTGAGTGAGCTTGACTGGGGCCTCCACACTCTGCCCATAGATGCTAGGATCCTTTGGGATTGTGGCTCCTCACCTGGGCACGTGGCCACAGCTGGTAGGATCCCCTTCTCCCCTCATGATTTCCTCTCATCTTTCTCTCACCCACACCTCAAGCAATTTCTGGAAGAAGCCAGAGGACAGTGAGGCAGCTTCCAGGAGCACAGTATTTATTACCAACTCTTCTGGCCCATTCCCCCAAGCCCTGATCCCTGAAGAGCCCACAGTCTCCATACAGCCAGAGCCAGCCTCTGCAAGAATGGGCACAGCACAGGGGGCAGGAGATCTCCAGCTTGCTGCCCTGGAAGGGTCAGCCCGAAAAGCATGTGTCCTGTAAATCCTGTCCCTCTACAGAGGCAGGGCACTCCCTGAAGCATCTGCTGCCTGGCTGTGGCTGGATCTTCCTGGAGACATCCCTTGCCAGGAGCCATGCTCCACCCTGCTCTGACTGTTCTTCCAACTCACACTTCTCATCCCACTGGCTTGTCACAAGCCCCAAGAGTTGGCAGCAAAAATTAGACAAGGAGGCAGATATGGAGAGGCATGCCTATAATCCCAGCACCCTGGGAAGCTGAGGCAGGAGGATAAAATGTTTGAGCCCAGCCTGGGCAATTTAGCAACTTAGCAAGACCCTGTCTCAAAGAAGTAAAAAAAAAAAAAAAAAAGGCGGGGGGCGGTTAGAGACATAGCTCAGCACAAAAGCCCTGGTTTCAATCTCTAGCACAAACAAAACAAAACAAACTGAGTGGGTTGGGTGTTGCCTCAACCTGGGATGGAGCAGGCACTCTCCAGAAGGAAGAACGTCTCCCCAGGCGCCTGGCCTCTGCCCAGGTGCCTGGTACCCAAGTCCCAACATGCCCAGCTTCCTCCCTTCCCTATGGTTGCTGCTGAGGCTCCTGCTTTCAGGGTTGCACTCACCCTCTCCCTGGTCCCACACCTGAGATCAACCTGTCCACCAGGAAGGAAAGGACCACAACCAAATATCACCATCTCTGCCAAGCACCCTGGTCTGAGACTAAGATTGCCCTCTGCTCAGGAGCAGCACAGCAGCACCTCCCTGAGTGTTGTGCGGAGCTCCGGGCTGCGGAAGGCGTAGATGAGGGGGTCCACGATAGAGTTGCAGATGATGAGCACCAGGAAGAGGTTGAAGTTCTGGAAGACACAGCTGCACACAGGGTGTTGGGGACAGAGGATGACAAGGGTGAGGTGCAGGAAGAAGGGGCCCCAGCACAGGAAGAAAATACCCAGGAGGATGGTGAGGGTAGCAGCACCCTTGAGGCAGAACCCTTGGGGGACTGGGCGCTGCCTCTTGTGGAGTTGGGCGATGCCCTGGGCGTGCTGGCAGGCTCGAGCGAGCATGTGCACATACAGAACGGCCATGAGGACCACCATGGCCAGGAAGAAGGCGACCAGGCACAGCAGCACGGCAGTGTGCTTGTAGTAGGTGATGAAGAGGGTGCTGGAGAGGACACTGGCCACCCAGATGGCTGCGATGGCCCACTGGGACCGTGACAGGGTCACGATGCTGTGATACCGCAGTGTGTAGAAGATGGAGATGTAGCGGTCCACAGCGATGGCACCCAGAAAGCAGAGACTGGACACCATGGAGCTACAGATGAGCACATCGATGACATTGTCCAGCCGCTGCACCACGGTGGGTGCCGTCACCAGGGTGCCTGCCTCCAGCAGCAGGATGATGGCCGTCTCCAGCACGATGCTGCAGCTCACCAGCAGGTCGGACAGGGCCAGGCAGCCGATGAAGCAGTACATGGGCGAGTGCAGGTTACGGTTCTTGATGATGGCAGCCACCACCAGTACATTCTCCACCAAGCTGATCAGCCCCAGGACAAGGAAGAGCCCTTCGGGGATGGACACATGCAGGCACCCTGGTCCTGTGTAGTTGGCAGGCAGTCCAAGGAGCAGCGTGGCTGAGGGGGTGGCATTGAAGGAGCCCAGCATCCTCCTCGAGGGCTCCTGCCTGGGAATAGTCCTGTTCTGGGACAGGAAAGGGCGAGCAGAGTCCTGAATTCCAGCTGGCATCACTCCAGGCTTCCCACTCAGCTCATGGTGCTGGAAGGAAGGCTTGATGTCTTGCATACCTGCCTCCATCCTTCCAGGGTCCCCCAGAGTGGCCATCACTCACCCTCTGCATAGTGGGACAAAGGTTGGCCCAGGTATGGCTCAGACAGATCCGACACTCCCTGGCCAGGCCCCTGAACTTTGCCAGGATGCCCTCTGCTCACAGAGTCTCACTCCCAGTGTGTGCAAACCTGGTCCTTGGCCGCCATCTGCCCCTCTTCCCAGAAGGCCCATCAGGACCAGACATTTCAGAGCCTCTCTGTCACCTGCCTCCCTGAGCCAGGGCTAGGCTGAGGGTCCAGCAAGAATGGAGCCTTTCTCTGCATCTTTAAAGTCGTCCCTGAGCTCCTCCTCCTGCGGGCGACCACATGATGGGCGTGTGTGGGATGTGTGTTAGGGAGGGTGTTCCCTGCCTCAGCATTCCCGCCTATTTGAGGGCATGCAGGCAGCGCCCCTTGAGGCCGGGACTCCTGGACCTAGGCTGGCATCCCTTCACATCCAAAGCCTCTGCAGAGGACCCGACCTCCCCATCATTTGCTCATGAATTCAGTGTGACTCCTCTCATCAGCCCCTTCTCACTAGGGTCTTGGGTCCCTGCCTCCCCACACTGCTCCCCTTGGCTGGCCCAGCTCCCAGCACCTCACTGCTGAGTGCTTGTATAAGCTCAAGGCGGCCCCAACCACTTTCAGCCAGGGCAACGTGTATCACAGCAACACAGGTACTGAACTTCAAGGTGGATTTGGGGGCCGGGCCAGTGAGAATTTAATTTTTTGTTTTATCATTTTGAGACAGGGTCTCGTTACGCAGTTTAGGCTGGCCTTGAACTCATTTTGTAGCACAGGCTAGGAGCCTCGAACTTGTAGCAATCCTCCTGCCTCAGCCTCCCAAGTGCTGGGATTAGAGGTGTGTGCCATAACATCTGGCTTGAGAATTTAAAAAACTAATTAAAATTTCACACAGTGGGCACTGCAAAAGACCCAGCAGGGGTGAAGGCAACAGGGCCCTGCCACTTCTCAGAAGGGCTGGGTGGGCTCTGGAGGGGCTGTGCCCCGGTGCCACCCTGCAGAGCCTCCGCTGCCCAGCCCCACCACAGATAAGCAGCAAGCCCTTCTAGTACTGGGAGGGTTGCCACTTCCTGGGAGCGGACAGCCAGAGGGCATCCTGGTGACGTCCAGCAGGACCCTGCAGTCCCATTGTTCTTGTCTATCACGGGGCAGCGGAGCACAGCTGCCCGCCCCTTATCAGCAGTGCCCCCATTTCCTGTGTAGGGAGAACATCCAGCCCCTGGAGCCAAGAATGCAGTAGGCAGACTTCTCGCCGCCACTCCTGTGGTCAGCGGTCAGCAGTCGGGAGAAGCAGTCCCATACTTTCTCACGGGAGGTGTCTGTGTTGATGGCAAGCATCCTCCTGGTGGAGCGGCAGGGGGAGCCTCACACACAGGTGGGTAAATTGAAGCAAAGAAAGACATAACCCAGGCTTGAGGGAGGCTTCAGCATTTTCAAGGTATTTGTATCTGTGATATTGATGTTAAAATCCATTCTGAGCCAGGCATGACGCCACACACCTTCAATCCCAGCACTCTGGGAGGCCAAGGCAAGAGGACTGCATGTTCCAGCCCAGCTAGGGCAACTTACTGATTTAGAGACCCTGTCCCAGAACACAACAGCTGCGGTTGTAGCCCAGTGTGAAGGCTCTGGGTTCAATCCCAGTACCACCACTCCCCCAGGGAAATAAAAACAGTTCTCTCTCTCCTACCCAAGTGCCAGCCAGCCTCTGGCTCTGCAAGGCCCTGACCACCCACACCACCACCATGCAAGAGCAGGGGCAGCAGCCACTAGGATAGACCAGTTGTCCCTGCTTCTGCACGACTTGCAAAGCTTTCCACCCTTCTGCTTTGTACAGTACTGTGCAGCACGACAGGCATCCAGCTGCACAAATGAGGGATCTGCACAGGCAGGTGTCCACCCAGCACGGCCTGGAGTGCAGCTGCCCCGCCCAGAGCAGCTCCCTGGCCTCCCATGGATGGTCCTGAGTGGAGCCTGCTGGCTGCACACTCTGCTCACACTGAGCTCTTGCCTGCTGCGCCACTGCCCGAAGCCCACCCGCAACCCGCTGGCATTCTGTTCACAGCATCATGGACGACAATGGACTGCTCCTGCTGGATGGCCTGGCGCCTCCTCTGGTCACGTGTGCTGCCAGCTGACCGCTGGCCATGGACCTGTGCAGTGCGAGAATTCTCTTCAGCTTAGCAGACAGTCAAACTGTCTTCCACGTGAGTGCAGCAGCCCTTTCTTGCCCTCATGCAACTCACTGAGAGGAAGATGGGGGCAACATGGCAACCAGAGCTGCATACTCCCTTCCTGTCTGTCAGTGCAGCTCTGCTCTCACCATGCTCCAGAGAGGAGCTGCCCGGGGGAGTGAAGGGTAAGTGTGACAAGGAGGCAAGGCCGTCACAGCAGGAGGGGCACCTCTCCCCACAGACCACCTGCCCCTAGGGCCTCTGCCATCACACTGCAGGGATCAGCACTAGCTTCATCAATGAGACCTTTGAGACAGCTGTGGCTGCCCAGCCCCTCCCAAGCCTGCACTTCAAAAGGCACGAGCACCCAGGCCTTGGGCAGGGCGACCACATCCTTCCCCCCGCAGCCCAGCTAACACACCAGAAAGGGGGTGACCCATCCTCCGACCCCAGTGTGGATCACACTGGGTGTATCTGCAGGAGCTTCCTGGGAAGAAGCCAAGGGCAGCTGAGCTGGGAGAAGTCAGTGTTGTGATTTGCTGCGGTCAAGAGGAAGTGCGGAGGTAGCAAATCAGTCCTGGGACCGTGTGATCAGATGAATCGGGTGCCCTAGAGCTGAGAGGAACTGAGTTTATACATGCTGGCCCCCAACAGAAAGGCACAAGCCACCACCTACTCAGTGGGGGACACTGAGGACACACACCCCTCCCTTGGCCGTGGCACCATTCCACCCAACACAGTACTGCAAGGGAGCTGACTTGGTGGGTGACTGTGCTCTGGACCTGTGGGAGGGTTGGGTGCACCTGTGCCAGGGTGGGGGGGCCTGCCTGATCACCAAGCCCTGGCTGGCCCCCGGCTCTGCTTCCTTCGTGAAGGCCCCAGTGACCCCATGCAGCCATGAACCCAACCTCTGCCAGGAGGCTGGGGTCTGAGGCCTTGGTCAGAGCTCCCTGTCGAGGGCTGGCAGACAGGTTTCCTCATGCCTACCCCACTGGCTCAGTGGGAAAGGGCACAGTGGAGCAGCACAGAGCCTCCATTGAGGCTGAGGGCATCAGGGGGAGCCAGGACTCACTGTAGCCCTGGGCCTGGCAGGCCAAGCCTTGTAGTGGCTAGGATGATAGTAACCTGGCTGCGTTCACTTACAACTGTTTGCTTGAAACTGCCTCAACCCAATCACCCTGCTTGAGCAATGCTGACTTCACAGCCCTTTAGGAACAGGCCTGCAGATGAGCAGTATTCCCAGGGCTTGCTCTTCATTGCCTCATGGTTACAGATGGCAGCTGCAGCTCTGGACATCACATCCCCACTGCTTGGGAAACAGCTCTGCTCAATGTGAGCCCCGAGCCCCTACACCCTCCAGCAGTTGGCAGGGACCCACACTGAGAACCTGGTGGCAGCCCTGCTGTGCCACCCCATCTGGTTCTGGGCATGGGGGGTGACAGTGTGTTCCATGTTGCTGAGGGGACCTGTTCCAGCAGAGATGGATGCTGATGTGGAACCGCGGCTGCAAGAATGGCTCACCCACAGGAGGGCATAACCACTGACATTTATCGGGAAACAGAAGATGTGGGGCGACTGTATATTCAGCATCTCTACTTCAGGGAGCTCCTCACTCCCAGCCAGAACAGAAATCAGGAACATAATTGCACAGGGTCAGTCCCAGTCACCCTCTCCCTCGGGGTTTTCCTCGCGTGGCACCTCCATGTCGTTGAAGTGGAAGTTGGCCATCATGTCTCGCACAGCCAGCATCAGCCGGTTCAAGCCCTGGTTGCGGTTCAGACCCCGAGCCACTCCTTCCTCTGGCCTCTCCCCCTGCCACAGGGAGATAGGTCTGAGCTGGCTGGGCCCTAAGGCCTTGGTCCAGGCAGGGAGGGAGGAAGAGGACACGCGACGCGGCCAGCCCCAGAGTGGCCTGGCTGACAGTGAGGAGGCCCCACTTCCTCCTCGATGGTGTCATGCTGCCTCTGGCCAGGGCATGCCCGACATACCTCCATAGTGTAGTTTGGCAATAATGACCGGAAGAAGAGTGCAACTGTGTTTCCGTGGCTGACGGGACTTAGCCTGTGAGATGAAGTCAAGAAAGTCAGAAGAGGAACCTGAAGGGATTCCCGCCAGCTCACAGGGCCTTTGTCAGTCCTCCCACCTGCAACCAGAAGCAGTCCCAGGCAGCCATTGAGGCCCTGGCTCCCCTATGCCAATCAGGGCCAGGGGTGGGGATAATCAGTGTGGGGTGGGGCTGTGGATATTCCTAGGAGGGTGACCAGGGAGGAAAGAACAGATGTTATGGAGCCACAAAGGGAAAAAGTGGAGGTGATCTCAGCTGGGCTGTGGCTGTGGCCTACATTTCCTTCTCCCTTAAAACTTGAGGGAGCCAGGTGTGGTGGCACATGCCTGTAATCCCAGCATTCAGGAGACTGAGGCAGGAGGACTCACTGCCACAAGTTTGAGGCTTGCCTGGGCTACATAGTGAGTTTAAAGCCAGGTGGAACTACAGAGCAAGACCCTGTCTCAAAAAATTTTTCCAAATTTAAAAAGGAACTGGAAGGAGGAGCCATGTCACAAGGGCAGCAGATCTGGGGGTTACACGGAGGCTACTGCTGGCCACTATAGCCCAGCTTTGCCTTTGGGGCATAGCCAGAGTGAGGTGCCAAGTGGCCGTGCTATCGTAGCCTGTTGGATATGTTTCTGATATCCACTGACATGAACAATTTTCACTTTAACCTAATGAAGAATTCGACAGGACTGGTTTTCCCATGAACATGAAGTCCAAGCTCTGTAACAGAATTCGGTGGGAAGAAAAGGATACCGTTCTACTGAGTGTCAAGTACTTTACAGGGAGAATCTGCCAGCGACTGAGACCTACTGTAGCTGAGGGTCCAGGCCAGGCAGCTACTCAGCTCTAAAGGCCAGAAGAGGGGTGAAAGAAGTTTCTGTGACTGATCTGCACAGGGGCAGCCCAGGACTGGAGCTCTGATGGGTCCCCTCCCTGCACCCCACTGCCCGGCTCTCCTGGCCCATCTCCCAGCAGCCCTTAAGCTGTGCTTCACCCTCATCTGGTCAAAGAGTTCTTTCCTTCCACACCATGCACTTTGACCTAGCAGGTTCTTATTGCAGGTTTTTCTTTTACAGTACTAGGGACTGAACTGAGGGCCTTTGCACTGAGCTACACCCCCAGCGCTTTTTAAAATTTTTTATTTTGAGACAGGGTCTTATTAACTTGCTCATGTTGTGTTCAAACTATGCAACCCTCTTGCCTCAGCCTCCAAGGGTGCTGGGATGACGAGCGTGCACCCCCAGGGCTGGCTGTGCAGTTAGGGTTCTATACTAATTTCTAGGTTCTATAATTAACATCTGCTCCTCACTTCATGGACCACGCCACAAGGGCAGAGGTTTCCTATTTTACTTCCATACTATTTTTAGCACCAGCTACAGAACCCACCAGAGCAGTGCTGCTATGAGATGGACATGGGCAGGGCAGTGCTGTCCCCAGATCACACCCCAACACCTCCCACCAGGGCGTGGCAGACTCTGGGCCTGTGTGGATCTCTTGCCTTCTGGGTGTGCACAAGCGCGGGGCAAAG